GTTTTACGTCTTTTTTTTCCCCTCCCGTTTGTCGCAGCACTGTCGAGAGCGGCCGCGGTCGATGGTGGTCATTGAAGTTTTTACTCCTGTGGTCCAGAGAATCCTCAAACACAACATGGTGAGATCTGCCGACCGGACTGCAGCATTTCTGTCCAGCCCATCCAGAACCTTCATCTGGCCGCTGTCGTTCAGAATGGGAGTTAAAATCCAGACTTCCGGATCTTCTGAATGTTTATTTTGATTCTCAGGTTGTAGTTTGTGATTTTACTCTTCATTCTCCAGGATCCACCCCAACCCTAACCGAGCTGGTTCCAGTCCTGCTTCGGGTTCGGAGCCTCCTGCATGTTTTAAAATTCTAATACAGTAATGCTAACGTTCCAAAACGTGGTGTTCTTGGGCTAATCCACATTTCTGGTCACTTGAAAGCAGCATTGAAATACTCTTAATTGATACGGTTGATGTAAAATGTTTTCTCCTACAATCCTTCCTGGAAGCATCACGCTAGCTTAAATGGTTCCCAAAGCTGGGGTTGGGACTCAGATTTGGGTCACAAACCTCAGGAATGTCCTCAAATAATCCCAGAGTTCCAATAAAAAGGAAACGTAACACAACACCATTTAATGTGAAAGCTAAAGTAACAGCTGGATATAAATACTGAACCTTGGCCGTGGAAGCGTTGGGGGTCCAGGACTGAAGCCAATCAGCTGATCAGGATTTTGTTTTGGTGTCAGAATAAAACCCAAAGATCACGATGCTGATGAAGCGGTTTTATGTTGGTTCCATATTAGATGAACGGAGACCCTTCAGCTTCTAGATTAGGGATTGTTTTCTCTAATCTGTGTGCTTTTGTTCCGGGGCAGGATTTCGGGAAATGCCCTCGGCTGCGTCTCTTCACTCAGGAGTACATTCTGGCTCTGAATGAGCTGAACGGCGGGATGGAGGTCGTCAAGAAGTTTGTCCACAGGTGAGCTCGGCCGGTCGGACCTGGTTCAGATCTCTCTCTCTCTCTCTCTCTCTCTCTCTCTCTCTCTCTCTCTCTCTCTCTCTCTCTCTCTCTCTCTCTCTCTCTCTCTCTCTCTCTCTCTCTCTCTCTCTCTCTCTCTCTCTCTCTCTCTCTCTCTCTCTCTCTCTCTCTCTCACTCACTCACTCACTCACTCACTCACTCACTCACTCACTCACTCACTCACTCACTCACACACACACACACACCCGAACACGAACGAAGATTCGGCCTTCAGGGTTGATTCCGACTTGGTTCTGACGTGCAGCTCTGTTCCGTGTTGCAGCATGCACGGTCCGACGGGGCAGTGCCCTCACCCTCGTGTCCTGCCGAACCTCGTCGCCGTGTGTCTGGCTGCTATCTACTCCTGTTACGAGGAGTTCATCAACAGGTCAGTCAGAACGACACCTCCTCCTCCTCCTCTAGGTCATAAATCCTCAGGATGAAACTCAAACTTGATTCTTGTTCATTTACAACAACCGTGGTGAAATTAGGGCTGGGTGATAGGGCCTAAAATTAATATCACCATATATTGAGGATTTCACCTCGATAACGAGAAATGGACGATAACTACAGGTATACGCAGAAACAAAGGTTGTCCACTAGATGGGGCTGTCACGTGTATCGTGTTGAGTCACATTTTTACGTGACTCAAGGCGGTACAGCTTCTTAAAGGGACATGAACGTTGGCAACCTACACACATCTTCTCGTTTTCTGTTTCATTTCTCATGAAGCTGCTGCGTTGGAAGAGTCCCGCTGTTGTTTGGCTCCGTGTTTCCATCGATTGGATGAACTCATGACTGGTAATTTCCCTCATCTCAGAGGACTAATACGGGGGAAACAGGACAAGCAGTCATTTGCAGATGTTACCAGGAAGGCAGCTTGTATCCGTGTCGGTCGGAGGAGTTCAAGATGGAGCTCGCGCGGGTGCACGCAGCGAGCGGCTCGTCCTCTTCACGCAATGGAACCTTGTGTTTTATTGGCTTTTATGTTGGATTGTATGCACTTTTGTTGTTTCTGATGCTGTTTCTGAGCGGTGTGGCTTCTCTGGAGACTTATGAACGAGCTGCGCTGCTAAGGCTTGTCCTCCTGTTGATGTGGCGGGCGCTGCGTGCTGGGAGCCTCACAGATGGCGTTGCTGTTTGGACCGCCCATGTGCTCTCCCCCCCCCCCCCCCCCCCCCCCCCGGCCGTGATGTGTCGGCCTTCAGTACGCCCCAGCTCGAGAAGGAGGCATCGTGGAAGACGGGGAAAACGAGATAGCCGACGCTTGAGACGTCGGGCTGGCAGGGGCATGTCCAGGGAGTGGCCTGGGGTACCTGTGGCCTGATTGGCCACCCCAGGTGCCACCCCACCCCACTAAGTTCCAGTTCAAATAGACTTTACATTGTCGACAAAAGGCTTGGGTTGTAAACTCCAAAATGGTGTGTGGTAGCATGCACCTTTCACATTGTTTTCTAGCCCAGGCCTACAGAACATTTCTGTGGTATTATTATTAATTTTTTTTCATATTCACATAAATAGTATTTATAGTCCCACTCAACTCCAGTTGGTGGCAGTAATGCAACAAGAAGTGACTTGCTAATCACCACAAAACAAGAAGATGAAGAGAAAAAATGGTGATTGTGCAATGTGAAACTCAAACATTTAAAAGAAAGTAAAAAATAAACGATTTTTGTAAATACATAAATAAGCATAACCATTGGTGCCACCCATGCATAAAAAAGTGCCCCACATGGGCCACCCCATTTTAAAAGTCCTGGACACGGCTCTGCGGGCTGGACTTCCTGGATCCCTGAGGAGGCGGCTGGTCCGATTCGGCCCAGTTTGTGGCCCGGCGGCTCCGAGACGTCTGATGGATTACTCTGCGCCCTGCCTTGTGAACTTGACTGGCTCTGAGGGTGAGCTGGCACCGCGCCACGGCCATTCGGCTCGAGGACCTCGCTAGAGTGGGGTTTGCTGGGAGAATCTGCGCTTGGTTACGGGCTCTGAGCTGGAGGAGACGGTGCCCGCGCGCGATCCCGGGTCTGCGGTTTGGTCTGCTGGTCAATGTCAGGTCCGTGCAGAACAAAACTTTTATTCTTCGGGATTTTTTAATTCAACATGACTTGAGTTTTCTCTGCATCTGTGAGTCCTGGATCCCGTTTGGTGACATGCGCCCAGCTGGAGCTGGTACCACCTGGCTGCTCCTGTTTTAATATCCCCAGATCGCGGGGCAGAGGTGGTGGGCTGGTTGTTGTTTTAAAATCCAGCTTTCCTTGTAAACAGCTAACACCCACCATGTCATTTTCTTCCTTCGAACTGTGCCTGATTGAACCGCGCATCTCCCCCCGCCTGCTCGTTGTGCTGATTTATCGCCCTCCAAAGACTGACTCTAACTTCCTAAATGATTTCTGTGATCTTGTGGCAGAATGCATCCTAAAATATTATTATGTCCTATTTTTTGGTGATTTTAACATCCATATCTGCTGTCCTGACAATGTGCTTGCTAAAGGCTTTTTGAATTTGCTAGATTCATTCAATCCAACTCAATGGGTATCGTCCCCTACTCATGCCAGGGGTCACACTCTGGACCTGGTTCTCTCTTTTGGTCTCCCTGTCATGAACCTCAAGACTTTGCCTCCTGTGTTCTCTGACCACTCTCCTATACTCTGTGATGTTACGTTGCCATGTCCTGTCCCTGTGTGTGAAGCTCCAGCTACTAGGTTCAGAGCCCTGGATGCAGAAACTATTGCAAAGTTCATGGACTGTATGGATGTAAGGTTAGAGACCTTTAACCCTGATCCATCTAACATTGATCACTATTCACAACACTTTGATGTACTTTGTAATCAGGTCCTGGATGTTGTTGCCCCTCTCAAGCTTTGCAAGTCTCGGCCTAGGAGGGAGCCTTGGCTCTCTGATGTCACACGGGCTTGTAGGCGGGCGTGTAGATCCTTGAGAGAAAGTGGAAAAAGGATGGCCTACAGGTCTCGCGTGAGTTGTTCAGAGCATCTCTGGTTGCTTATCAGGATGCAGTGAGGGCCGCCAGAATGGCCTATTTTGCAGACATCATTGAGACAAACTCCAAGAATCCCAGGATGCTCTACAAAACACTAAACTCAGTTCTGGTGTATCAGGAGCCTAGCTCCATGCCTCCTACAGCTGCTGGAAACTCTGTTTCACAAATTCTTTGTTGATAAAGTATCAGGCATTAGAGCTGCTATTTCTGGTAACTCTGTTGACCCTGTTCCAGTTCCTCCATCACCACCCACCCTGAGCTCCCTCATTACCGTTTCTTATTCTGAGCTGAGTAAGCTTGTTGCAAGGCAGAAGCCATCTGGCTCTCCACTTGACGTTCTGCCGCCTCGCCTCTGGAAGGCTGCCTTTCCGTGCCTTGGCCCTTCACTTGGTCAGATTATCAATGGGAGCCTCAGCACAGGCGTGGTCCCAGCTGCTTTGAAAGTAGCAGTTGTTCGGCCGACCCTGAAGAAACCTGGTGCTGATGTCTCTGTGATAGAAAATTACAGGCCCATCTCTACCCTGCCTTTTACATCAAAACTGCTTGAGAAAGTCGTTTATCAGCAGCTGGTCTCACATTTAGCTGACTCTGATCTGTTTGAGGTTTTCCAATCAGGGTTCAGGTCTGGCCATAGCACAGAGTCTGCTCTACTGAGGGTCCTAAATGACATCTATCTATCTCTAGATCAGGTACATCTGTGGTGCTTCTGTTGTTAGATCTGACGGCAGCTTTTGACACGGTTGACCACGTGATTCTGCTTGATCGCTTGGAACGATGGGTTGGGATCAAAGGGTCTGCTCTGGATTGGTTTAGATCGTATCTCCGCAACAGGACATTCTGCGTTAAACTGGGTGATGTTTTTTCTTCTTGGGAGGGGCTCTGCTGGGGGGTCCCGCAGGGATCGATCCTTGGTCCTCTTTTGTTTGCCATTTTTCTGCTTCCCCTGGGGTCAGTCTTTCGTAAACATGGCCTAGCGTTCCATCTCTATCCTGACGATTGCCAGATTTACTCTCTATTGTGTCAGGAGAAAGGTCACTCTATCCAGTCCTTTGTGTCCTGTCTTAACGAGGTGAAGTGTTGGTTAATGGCCAACTATCTGCATCTGAATGAGGGAAAGACAGAGCTCATTGTTTTTCACCCCAACAGCAGGGCTGTGGGTTGTTATGCTGATCTTGGCCCTCTTTCTCCCTACTCAAAACCAGTTGTCACCAGTTTGGGGGTGAAAATTGACGCTGGACTTAAATTTGATGCTCACATCAACTCTGTGATCCGGTCCAGTTTCTTTCACCTGAGACGCCTTGGAAAAATCAAGCCTATGCTGTCGAGAGCCCACCTGGAGCGGGTACTCCATGCTTTTGTCATTTCTAGGCTTGATTACTGCAACTCTCTTCTATGCAGGACTGGGTCAATCATCACTGCGCCACCTACAGGTTGTGCGGAACAGCGCAGCCAGGTTCCTGACTGGGACCAGGAAACGGGACCACATCAGTCCGGTTCTGGCCTCGCTGCACTGGCTTCCGGTCTGTTATCGTTTAAACTCCTCGTCTTTGTTTACAAGTTCTTCCAGGGTGGTGCTCCCCCCTGTCTGGCCACGCTGCGGAACAGACATTCCCCATCACGCGCTCTGCGCTCCTCTGACCAAGGCCTGCTCGTCTTCCATCGTTCCTGGTGTCGTACTCGCGGGGACCGGACTTTCTCAGTACTAGCCCCGTTACTCTGGAACCAGTTGCCGCCCTCAGTCAGGCTATCCCCATCCCTGCCAGCCTTTAAGAGCCTAAAAACCCACCTCCTCCGCTTGGCGCTCCCTGAATGTGTTTGAGTTAGGCCGTCATTTATGTTGGTTTTAATTCCCTGCTTTCATTGATCTCTTTATCTCTTGTTTTACCCTTTTGTTTTCTACTTTAATGTTTTTACCTGTTTTTCCTCATGTACCGTGCTCAGCGCCTTGGGCTTCCCGACAGGGAAGGCGCTTTATAAATAAAGCTTTGACTGATTGATTGGTCATCAGACCACATTAAGCCGTTTATAGCCCTAAACTCATTTACAAGGTCCCTCGGAAATACACACACAGTCACACAGAAACAAACAAACGGAATCAAAACAGGACAACGGTGTTTAAGAGAAAATTGTTTCTGTCTTCTTCTAAACGGTGGTTTGTTCCAGATGTTGTGTGTTTGGTTGGACAACATCTGGGGAAGCACCCAGTTGAGATTCATAAATCTGAAAAGGAAACAGTGTCTGGTTTTCAGGGCTGATAGCGATTTACCTAAGAGGTTTTAGTCATATCAAACCATTTAACAATGGAAAATCGGACTTTGGAAGTGAAACTTCCTCGCGGATCTGATCTGTCATTACAGTCGTAAGTGGTGAGTTCACAGACTGGGGAATAAAATCAGATTTTTGAGTTTCACACCGGCTGAGCTCCGATCTGAACAAACTCTTTCCAGGAATTTTAAATGTGAGTGTTTATTTTTCCATAACACCCCCCACCCCCCTTCCCTCTGAGCTTCTTTACCCCCCAGGTGAGGAACGTTCTCCGAAGCGTTCGTCTCCAAAGGAAGTGTAACCGTATGGAATTCCCTCCAGACTCCAGATGCATCTTGTCTTTTCTCTCCCGAGTCGTTTCATTTTGGTCTCTTGTTTTTTTTTTTTTTTTACTGACGTGATGATTCCTGATGTTTTCTTCTGCACCTCCTCAGTCGGGACAACTCCCCCAGCCTGAAGGAGATCCGGAACGGCTGCCAGCAGCAGAACGACCGCAAACCTCCGATGCCGCTCCGCCTCCTGCGCCCGGAGCCTCTGACGCCACCTCCTACCACGCTGCTCCTGCTCTCCACCGCCCCCAGTCCTCCTCAGCCGCCCCCGCCTGCCCCGCCAAACCCACCCATCCCCATCCCCATCTTGTCCCCGACTCCCTCCCTGCCTCTCTCTCCTCCCCCCTCTATTGTCAACTCCAGCGAGATCCTGGTGGAGCTGGAGCGGAACAACAACTCCGCCAACGCCAAGAGGAAGGGCGGCCCTGCGGGGGGCGACAGCGAGCCCAACCTCATCGACTGCCTGCTGGTCAGCCCAGCCGTCAACACGCTGTCCATCCAGCTGCCGGCGCAGGCCGACCGGGTCCTGGGCTGCTTCGCTCTCATCCTCAAGATGCTGTGAGTCTCCCCGTCGAGCTGTTTAAGTCAGACTAAAGCTGTACTTAATAAAGGGAAATAGTGGAGCTGGCGTATTTGAGTCTGAAGGCTTTTCTACATGAACATCAGCTCCAATAATGACCATTTCCTCAGGTTGTTTCCTACCTTGGGCTGTGTGGATGAAAAAATGTACAAAATAAAGACGTGGTGGTGTCTGGAAACAATGAACCTTCTAGTAAAATATAAAACCGGCCATAATGAAATGATGATCTAACACCATAGAGATGAGGTGGTATACTTACACTGCAGCATCCAAAGAAGAACTCAGAGCTTTCTATAACCCTTCACAATAAGAGTCTCGCACATTCACGGGCATCTCCCGACAGCTGGAACTTACGTCGGTTTTTGGATAAAAATTAAACCGAACTTCATTAATCAACTAGTCTCTCAGTAGTTTTCTTCACTTCCCCCATCTTAGTTTTCTAATTCGTTTGTTGTTTTCTTACATTTGAATGCTTTTAGAGCTGACCAATCAGAGAGGAGGGATTACTTCTAGACGTTTTCTCTTTTCCAGACAGAAATCTAGATGATCGGGTTCTTAGACTCAGACGAGAGCTGGACTTTGAACTTCCTGATGTCAACAGAGCAGAGCGTTCCAGTTTGTGACTGATCCATGTGTAAACAGGCCTGACTCACCTGCTGCGGCAGCTCCGTCGGGGCGTAGGCGCCCTCTTGGAGCTCGTGGATTAAAAAGCGACAGTGTTCGTGGGTTTGTGGCGTCTCACAAAGCTGGGGTTACTTCAGCTGTGTAACGTGAAGCTGCAGAAGCTCCCGTGACATTGTTTACCTGCGTCAGCGCCGCTCCGCTCTCCTTTCACATGCTTCTGTGTTTTCATTCTGCAGGGCGGATCCTTCTCTCCTTTGTCTTCACTGCTTTCTTACTTCCTTTTGTGGTTTTTAGGTCGGACTACGACGACTGGAGACCTGCTCTGGCCAGCCTGCTGCAGCCCATCCCCTTCCCTAAAGAGTGAGCATCTCATTTCATCCTGCAGCTGCTTGTTTTGACCTAAAAACAAAGTAAACCGGCTTTAATCCAAGGAAAGAGATGACTGGAATGAAGCTGTTTTTTTCTGTGAGACAACAGTAAACAATCGTTTTGGTTCCGCTGAGACTGAAGTACAGAGACGGTAAACTATTACTTCCTCTTTAGGATCTGATGTTTAATGTTTTATCAGTCCCGTCCGGCCTCGCAGCTCCATCTCGTGTGGCTGAGCTCTCTGAACTCTGGTTCCGTTGAAGACCTGCTGGTGTTGTTTTGGACCATGGTTCTGTTTCATGACCCGGTTCGGTTCAGCTGTGGGACAGAGTCACAGGTGTCTCTAGAACACTTTGTTGGACTCCGGACGTGGCCCAAACCATCAGCCCTCCGCCACCGTGCCGATAGCTGGGATCAGGTGTGCGCTGTGGTGCATTGTGGGTGAACGCCTCCACTTTGGGACATTATTACAGAAGCTTCATGGTCTTCTCTAAAGGCTTAAATCTTCCCAGTTTTGAGACGTTAGGATCTTGAAGTGAATTAGTCAGGTTCTGTTGAAATGGTCCGAAGCTTCACAGAGAACTCAGAAACGTGTCGCTTCCGTTTCCCGTCCAACAACAGCCATTGTGTCCCCTGCCTTCCATATTCTTGTCTCTCTCCGTGGACATGTCCATGTTCCTAATGGGGTCTCAGGAGGCAGGAAAGCTGATGCAGGTGAGCCACCTTAACTCGCCTCTCAGGAGGGATGAACCTCCAAGAGCCTGCTGTTATTAGAGCTGTCATTGGTTAGCTCATCCTCGGCTTCATTAGCGACAACTAGCAAGTGTTTTGTTGTTTCTCCGACTCTGCGATGCACCTGCGCTCACCTGCGCCACTGTTACCTGGTTGATGCTTCAGGCGTCATCAAGGAAGGCAACAACAGTCTGTGGACCCTCTGGAGCCAGGCGCACACTCCAGGAACCAAAGAGCCTGAAGGCTGGACCGAACCGGGTTCCCTCTGTAGGTGGTTCGGTAGTTCCATGAAGGTCAAACACGTAACTGGACTTCTGCTTCTGATGAGCCTCTCGGTTCAAACCGAGAAGCTTCTAAACTACAGCGAGCTAGCTCCCAGTCTTGAGTCTCGCCTGATCATAAAAGCACCTCCAGACAGAAACGTCTTTCTTAGATCGTCTGTCTCACAGTCTGTGTTCTCTCTGCAGGGCCCTGGCGCACGCCAAATTCACAAAGTGAGTACTTCAGTCATCGTGAGCTGCTTTTCACTGACAGCGTGGCTCTAAAACAGCCTGACGTTTGTGTGTGTGTGTGTGTGTGTGTGTGTGTGTGCGTGCGTGCGTGCACAGGGAGCTGAAATATGTCATCCAGAGGTTTGCAGAGGATCCGAGGCAGGAGGTGAGTGACGTTTTTGTGCTCGCCTGAACGTTTTAACGAGGAAACTCACCCTCTGTTCTGTCCGTGTGGCCTTCAGGTGCACTCCTGCCTGCTCAGCGTGCGCTCCGGTAAAGATGGCTGGTTCCAGTTGTACAGTCCTGGGGGCGTGGCCTGCGACGACGACGGCGAGCTGTTTGCCAGCATGGTGAGTTCACGGAGGTCAAATTCCTCTGGAGGTCACAAACTGAATCTCTTTAAGGTTCTGTCTGACGAAAACAGATTTTATTTTTTATAGATGAAAAACATTTTCTGAATATTCTGGAAACAAAAAGCCGACTCGGAACTCACCAGATTATTAATCCCGTTTCGTGTGACGACTAATCAATAATTTAAATGTAATCTGCCAAATGAAAACCTTAAATAATCATTTAAATATCTCCATATTTACAGGTTTTATGTTTACTAAAACATGTTTAACTGTTTTAGGTAAAAAAAAATATTAATATTGATAAAACTGATGCTTTACCTCCCGGGGGTTTTGTTGTCTTTCATGTTTTAAATAAAGATTTATGCAGAATTAGTCTTTTCTGGTTTTTTTATTCATCGTAATGTAAATTGAAGGTATTTTGTCCATTATTGTGAATGAGTTAGTTTTTCTACATTATATTACATTCATTCAGTAAATGTGCAAATGCACAAATGTGAGCGGGTGTTTAAACGGCTCCTCTTCCTCCGGTTCAGGTTCATATCTTAATGGGTTCCTGCTATAAAACCAAGAAGTTCCTTCTTTCTCTGGCTGAGAACAAGTTGGGTCCATGCATGCTGCTGGCCCTGAGAGGAAACCAGACCATGGTGGAGGTCAGACTTTCTTTTGTTTGTTTACTGTTGTTGTTCAGCTGTGTTCGCGTGTACGAACGTGTCGCTTCCGTCTGCAGATCTTGTGTCTGATGCTGGAGTACAACATCATCGAGAACAAAGACACGCAGCTGCAGATCATCTCCACTCTGCAGAGCACGCGGGTCGGTTTCCGGATGTACGAGCAGCTCTGCGACCGACAGCGAGAGCTGAAGGAACTGGTGAGTTTGTAGATAAACAGACAAATTTGTAGATGAATTATTGGAACTAGTCTGATGTACTTTTTCTGTTAAATCGAATAGGACAAATAAATCGGTTTTATTAGGAGGTTTGCTGTCGCCTGTTTGTTGTATTGTCAGTAAAACACCACAGGAGGGCGATAGTTGGCCAAAGACCTTTTCTTCTGCTAAACGAGCTGTTTTCAAACCTTATTTTGGTTTTAAAACTTTATTTTCTCATTTGCATAATTGAATTTATCATGTTGTGATGTTAGGGCTCTAGAGAGCTTTCACCAAACTCACTTTTTGTCTCTGCTTATGAGGGATTAAAAAAATATTTTTAATTTGGCAGGAAATAATTTTTAAGACTCATATTTGATTTTTTTTTGTATAAGAAAGCAAAAATCACCTCTGTTATTTTTTTCTGATGAAAGTAACCTTGTTGTTTTAGTTATTATTCCTACTTTTACATAACTGGTGTAAACAGAAATGAAAATTGATGAGATATTAACTAATAATATTATTATTGTCGTTATAATAATAATTATTATAACGAGACAACAGTGCTAACCGCTGCATGGTGGCGCAGTGGTTAGCACTGTTGCCTTGCAGCACGAAGGTTGCAGGTTCAAAACTCTGCTGCGGTCTTTCTGCATGGAGTTGCGTGTTCTCCCCATGCGTGCGTGGGTTTCCTCCGGGTACTCCGGTTTCCCCCACAGATCACAACATGCCCTACAGGTTATAAGTCGCTTTGGATAAAAGCGTCTGACAAATAAATAAACATAATTATATTATTATATTATAAAAAGAATTATTATTGGAGTCATTATTATTGCTTTTATTATTATTATTGTTATTATTATCATTATTGTCGTTATTATTATTTTCATTATTATTGTTGTTGTTATTATTATTATTATTTTCATTATTATTATTGTTGTTGTTATTATTATTAGTATTATTATTTTCATTATTATTGCTATTAGTATTATTAATATTGTAATTATTATTATTATTAAAATGTATTGTCATTATTATTATCGTCATTTTAATTATTATTGTAATTGTTGTAATTATTATTATAATATGGTCATTATTGTTGTTATTATTATTAAAATTGTTGTCATTATTATTATAATTATTGTAATTGTTGTTATTATTATTGCCATTGTTATTATTGTTGTTAAAATGTATTATTATTATTATTGTCATTATAATTGTTATAATTATTATTGTAATTATTATAATCATTATTATTATTATAATTATTGCTATTATTATTCATTATTGTCGTTATTATTATTGTTATTAAAATGTATAATAATTATTATTATCATCATTATTATTATAGTAATTATTATTATTGTTATTGTCATTATTATTGTTGTTATTATTATTAAAATGTATACTTATAGTCATTATTATTATTGTAATTAATATAATAATATAATAATAATAATTATTATTATTATTGTCATTGTTGTTGTTCTTGTTTTAGCATGCATTTGATTTTTCATCTTAATAGATGTTAAACCAGTGGTCCAAACGTCTGTTCTAGCTGACGGGGTTCCTTCAGCTCAGACTCATTTCTGTTTGTTTTTTCTGTCTCCAGCAAAGAAAAGGAGGCCCCACCAGGCTGACTCTGCCCTCCAAGTCCACGGTGAGATTGGACAGCAGGACCTGTCTCTCTGCCCACGATGACACAAGCGGCAGGAACATCTGGTTTCTCAGATCTTTTGACTTTTCCTTTCCGCTGCAGGATGCCGATCTGGCGCGCCTGTTGAGTTCAGGCTCCTTTGGGAACTTGGAGAACTTGAGCCTGGCCTTCACCAATGTCACCAGTGCCTGTGCTGAGCAGCTCATCAAGCTGCCTTCACTCAAACAGCTCAA